ATTACACTTGACTGAGGTGGAGTTGTGGTGTAATCGTCTCCGGCATATACAGCTGGTGTATGTTTCTGGCCCAGGGTTTGACTCGATGCCAGCCCTGAGTAGGAGAATACGTAGTGAATGTAGCCGTATGGACGGACAACTTCTGAGATACTTCGCCGACCTAAACGGGGTTAGATCGCCGAAACAACAGCCCTTGGCCGGGTGAAACCCGAGTCATTCCGGTACGTAGAACCGACTGTCGTGGGAATGGGCCGAAATGATCAATGTGCACGGTATCAAATGGCTGAGGCTCCTTTGGTATATTATACAATTTCCTTTCTCGCGACGCCGGCGGCGCGGCATACATGATGCACTTCAGACAATTCTCAATAAACCGTGTCACTTTCGAATGCAGATTGGCAATCGAATAAAGTCTATTAATTTTGTCGCATGTCTTGTCGACCGACTGGTGCCCCAATTTCTCGTGCGCTAGTCTAATAATGTTGTCTTCCATTTCGCCTGGAACACAGAGTCGCCTACTGCCGTCCTCCCGTAGCCTACATACGAGGCCGTCCTGCAAGTCAAAGTCTTTTACCTTCCCCGTCAACAGTTTCTCACGAATCTCTTAGATTTTCGTCTCGCTCTTGAGCCACCTGTATCCGAAATTCTACGTCGACCGTGTCGTAATCCACCGCCGTAACACAGCGGCTTAGGGCGTCTACGTGTCTCATGGCAGTGCCTCTGCGATGTACAACTTTATAATTATAATTCTCTAGTTCCAAAGCCCACCTGGCTATCCTAGCATTAATTTGTTTTCCAGAGTTAGGGCAAGGGAGTTACACTCAGTTACTATCTGGAAGGGGATCCCTTCTAAATACGGCCGGAATCGTCGTAGGGCAAACACTATCGCCAGCGTCTCTAACTCGAAGCTGTGGTACTTCGCTTCGGCTGCTGAAGTGGTCTTGGAAAAATATGCCACCGGGTGCATTTTCTTATCGTCTTGTCTTTGGAGTAGGACGGCCCCGAAACCCGTTGCGCTGGCGTCGCAGTGTAACTCGATCTTTCTCAGTGGATTGTAGATTGACAGCACCGGGGCCCTCGACAGTTCCGACCTTAACCTCTGGAATGGTTCTGCGCAATCGTCGTCAAATAAAAAGGGCGTGTCCTTTTTCAATAAGTTCAGCAAGGGCCTAGCGATTCTGGAGAACGAAGGTACAAAACGTCTGAAGTACGAAAATAGCCCGATGCAGGACTGTAGCTCTTTATGGTTGGTCGGCATTGGGTACTTCTTGATGTCATTGGTATGTGACTCGCTTAACGTGATTCCAGCGGCTGAGACCGAGTAACCCAGATATTCTATTTTACTGTAACCGAACTTACACTTTGACAGATTTAGCGTCAAGCCTCTTCGTCTTATGCGGCCTAATACCGTTCGCAAGAGATCTCTGTGTTCCGCAAAGTCAGCTGTCGCTACTATAATATCATCCATATATATTATGATTTACCTAGCTTCGATGAGATCACATTTTTATTGATGAACCTTTGGAACACGGCTGGAGCATTTTTAAGCCCAAACGGCATTTTGAGGAACTCATACTGTCCGCCCGGGGTAACAAAGGATGATGAAAACCGTTCTTCAAATCTAGCACGGAAAATAGTTGTTTACCTTCTGGGTATTCTACGCAATCGTCTATGAGCGGTAGTGGGTAGTTGTCGCGGACAGTGATTTTATTTAAGCCGCGGTAGTCGACACAAAGGCGCAGCTGCCCATTTCTTTTCTTCACTAAGACTATCGCGGATGCATACGGCGAGTTACTAGGGCGTATAATACCTCTCGTCTCCAGGTCCTTTACAATATCTTGCACGGCTGTGCGTTCAGCAAAAGAGAGCCGACGAGGAGCACAGTGGAAAGGCACGTCTGAAGTAAGGTGGATTTTTATTTTGTATTCATACGGCTCTATCTCTACGTTGGAACTGATATACTGGCAACGCTGCCACCAACCAACTGATGGACAGCAGCCTGAACGCATTACGGGCTTCAGTGCAGGAGCTGCGACAAAGTTCCGAAGATAGCCAAAGGTACATTGTACGGTTACGCGAGGGTATGCAGCCACAAAGTGCAAGTCAGAGTAGTGTGCAGCCAGCACAAGACGAACAACGCCAGGCCGTCGTAGCTGATACCGATTCGCACATAAAGCTGTACGACTTGCCTACATTTGGCGGTAATATTGAAGAATGGCCATTGTTCTACGCAAATTTCAACGACACAACACAGGCGTTCGGTTACAGCCACCGGCAAAATTTAATGCGGTTGCAAAAATTACTGGTTGGCCCGGCAAAAGAGGCAGTGGAGGCCTTGTTAATTTTTGCGAATGACGTGCCGAACGTGATGCGTGAGCTTGAGTTTCGGTTTGGTCGGCCCGACATTTTGGTTAAAGGGCAAATAAGCCAATTGCAGCAGATCCCGCCTATACCTGAAAGCAAAGTTGAAAGAATTATACCGTTTTCGTCCAAAGTCCTTAATGTGGTGGCGTTTTTGAAGTCCGCGAATTGTCAACAACATTTGTCAAACGTGACGTTGCTTGAGGAAATGATTATCAAGCTGCCGCATACCAGACAATTCGATTGGGCGAAACACGCTGCGACGATCTCGCCTTATCCAACAATCGAACATTTTTCGGAGTGGCTCAGCGACTTGGCAAGGATAATTTCTCTAATGCCGACAACAAGCACACGAATCAGCAAACAAAATGCTGCGCCGAACAATCCGCGCCGCCTCATGCATATCAACCGACCGAAAGAGATTTTAAAATGTTATCACTGCAGCGGAAGCTATACGATAGCACAGTGTGAGTCGTTCAAGTCAATAGGCTTTCAGGACCGGTGGGAACTGGTCAAAACACAACAATTATGTTTTTCATGTTTGCGCAAGGGCCACTGCACACAGAAATGTCGGTCAAGGCGATAGTGTGAGGTGAATGGATGCCAACAATACCACAACCAGCTACTCCATAATGAGGAAGTAGCTGATCAAGCGCCACGTCGAGTCACGCAATCGGATGTCGGTGTGCAGCCACTGCTAAATTGTCGGGTAGCACAAAGTTCGCAAGGTTTATTATTTAAAATGTTACCGGTTAATATTTACGGCCTGGACGGCAAGCGGGATGTACTCGCCATGTTTGACGTAGGTTCGCCAGTGTACATAATGGAGGCCGGCGTAGCAAATATGATCGGTGCTAAAGGCGATTTACTTCCACTCACGCTGCAGTGCTACGACGATAAAATGGTAACCGAGCAAGCCAGTAAAGTTGCCATTGAAATCGAGAACTGTACTAACAAGAATAGATTTGCGCTTAAAGATGTGTACACGGTAAAAAACTTGAATTTGCCCGAACAATCACTAAGAAAAGAAAATTTCGATCATCTTAAAGATTTGCCAATTTTAAACTATTATCGTGCAAAACCAGTGTTGCTGATTGGGGTAAAACACGTACATCTCGGTGCCACCACAGCGATTGTGTAAGCCAGCAGCGATAGCCCATTGGCTGCGAAAACTCCACTTGGCTGGGTTGCGTATGGTCCAACGAAGTGGCCATCACTATTGAACCCCCGCGTTCTAGTCGTGAGGGAATTTCAGCAACTGAACGATTTAATAAAAGAATATTTCACAGCAGATAGTTTTGGCGTCAATCCGTCGCCGCAGTAGTTAGATTCAGACGAAGAGAAACGCGCACGTTCAACTTTACAACAAACGACCAGAAAAGTGGGACACCAGTACGAAGTCGGATTGCTGTGGAAAGAATATCCGCCGTAATTGCCCAGCAGTCGAGCCATGGCCGAAAAGCGTTTGTGGACAGTGGAGAAAAGAATGAGAGGCGACGTCGAGTTTCGTACGCGGTACAGAGAAGAAATGTCGTAAGTATTTTGAAAGAGGGTACGCAAGAAAGCTGAGCGAAGCCGAAGTCAGCGCGCCGGACATAAACGTATTGGTACTTGCCCCACTTCGCTGTCTTCAACCCCCATAAGCCGGAAAAAATACGAATTGTTTTCGATGCGTCAGCCAGTGTAGCAAATGTGTCTCTCAACTCGGCTCTTCTGAAAGGTCCAGAACAAGCACAATCGCTGATAAGAATT